TCCGTGAACCGTAAGCGGATCAATCTTGGGGGTAAAACTATGAACAAAAGTTGTCCTTCTTATTTTGGGGTCAATAGCTCTTTAAAGGCGATGAACTTTTATTTTCAAGAAATTAATAAGATATAAATAAATATTTAATATTTAGAATATTGTTTAATTTTTATTTTTAGAATTTTTACGGCTTTTAAGATTTTGCAAGTCTTTAGGAAAAATTCAAAATAATTTTAAACCAATTTATATATGTCTTTTCAATATCCTTTATGATTTTGTAATTCTGTAGAAAAAATTAAATGCTTAAAAAATATTTAGAAAATTGTTAGCAATTTATTTAAGGTCTTATTTTACTTAAACTAGCTTTACAAGGCTCATAGACTTCCATCTTAAGTTGCTATGAAAAAATGGGCGAAATAAATTTGAAAATGTTACAATTCTCGGATTGTGAGATTATGTGAGCTGACTGCTGTTTGCTTATCTTGTCAGCTGTTGCCTTGTGTTTGCTTACAATCAATCAATTACCAATGGCACGTGCACTCGTCTGGGTCCGCTGGCTCTGATTTGGCAAATAAATACGAGTATTTTGCCATTTTCCATTTCCATAGGCCAAATGCAAATGTCTAACCATACGAAAACATCAGCATAAATCAGTACTGTAGCTGTAGTCTGTCTGTAGCTGCCGGCTTATCCGACTTTCGCTGAATAATTTAGAAATGTTCCACGTGGCAGTTTGGACATTTAGACACAAAAAGCGGGAAAAAAAGATATCAGATCGGGTGATAACAACTGATTCATTTAACTAATGAACCACTTCAAAGGGTGGATTGGATTGGTATTCTTTTTATTTAATTTATAATCTCTTAAGCAAGGCTTTTTAATTAAATCCAAGGACATTCCTCATCCAAAATAGGGAGAAACCCTTTCACCTTGACAACGAAAAACTTGCGCAATTGAATATTCCGTTTTTGGCACCCAACTGTGAGGCGTGGGCCATAATTAAAACATTTATCAACTTTTGTTGACAAATGACTTGAGTTTGTTTGCTTTACGCGGCACACGAACTACGGAAAAAATCTATTGCGATTTGTGCTTCCTTTTTTTGCGCATTAGATACAGTGTACGTGGGCAATTTAAATAAACCCTTTCCTCTTAAAAAAATGCCAAAGATTTTGATTAATCATTTAGTGCGGAAAATTGTTTCCTTTTAGTATTTGGCTTTTCATCTCAATCAATCAATCATAGTCAAATGGTAGGAATGTTTTTGAGTTTTAACAATTTCCCCTATTGCATGGGTACTCGGAAATATTTCCCCATTTGACAAAAACCGAGCTTGTAAACAATAAGCACATGTTGCGAGGGCGTCAAAGAGCCGCAGCTGTCAATGGGTTTCAGCTAACGACTTGGCATAAATATCCGCTGGCAACACTGCGTATAAGTAATAGAAATGGCTCTACAGCACGAATAAATGGGAAAAGCGTGGCACACAAATTTCGCGGAAGCGTGTCAAGTTTTTTACATAATATGAATTCCTTTCGAAGGAGCGTAAATTCCAGGAAATTGTTGCTGGAAATCTTATACTTAGGAATTTATTAAAAATATGTTATATACTTATTGTGATGACTTCCTTTCAAGAAGCGTGAATTACAGGACATTTTTGCTAAAATGTCATTTTTGGATTTTATTTAAAATATTTTATATATCTATTGTGATGAATTTCGTTCAAGGAAAGTAAATACAGAAAATTGATGCTAGAAATCTCTTATTTGGAGTTTATGAAAAATATTTTGTTTACCCAAAATGTATATATTTATAGTATCATAACTGATGATAACCTTTAGAATTTTTATTAAATTGATTTCTAAAACTTAAACAAATGCTCGCTAGAAAATGGTTCGTCGTTCAGTGATTTTCCTCTGGAATCCATCAAAATTCTGACATGCAATTGTTTTGCCAACACGTTCACACATTGCGAGAGCATAAATTAGGCGGTAATTAGAGTGAGGGGCCCCTAGGAAAAGTCCATACTGTTTCATTTTTAATTTTCCTTGCCCAAAAGCCTCGCGGCTATTATGCTAATTTTTAGCTGGCCTTTCTGCTTTCTGCCACCAACTGGCGCACACATTTTGGGCATTGTTAAATAGCCGAAAATTTTCACAGCCAAGGACTTTTGGCCCTGAATTTTTGGGTGGCCTTGGATGTGCGCTTAATTCAATGAAATTTGTAGCAATTGCATTTGAAATTCGCCCGGGGGATGATTTTATAATTAAAGCTACTGATTATGATTTAGCGCAAAATTGGTGCGGAATATTTACATATTTTGTGGAAGGGATTTTTAATTTGATTTTTCGACCAGAGGGCCCACTAGTAGTTTTATAATTAGCTTTTCTGTAGTTTTATGGTTAACTGAGGATTGCACATTTATTGAAAAAGTTGTGCGGCGGAATTGAGTGGAATAGTTTTAAAAACGGTTGATTAATTTTTCAGCTATTAATTTTCTGAATTTAAAAGTCCAATATAAACTGAATTTATTCCTTCACATATTCTTAAACATTCATGGAAATGTAAATAGTTTAGTTGTTTGGTTATAATATAAATTCAAATGCCACAAAACTTGTTTATTTCGTATGTTAAAGTATTCAACAAGTTAACAACAGCAAAGTGACCCCAAAATGACCTAAATTCATGGAAAAGTTGTGCTGTTGCCATACCACAAACTTTCCAGCGGTCAATGTGTGATGAAAAGAGGGAGTTAAGGGATTTAAGGGGCTAGTTTTATTCTCCATGTTTGTCCTTTGACCCTTGGCTACTCGTTTTCCGAAACCAAAACCCTTTCATTACTTTTTCGTTTATATCGCTTATTCCATCCTCTCCACACTTCCTATCCGTCTCCCCACTTCCGTTCTTTTGGCATTCTAAAAAGAGCTGCAAATTGAGTTTGCTTGCATTTTTTGTACAGAGAAAAAATGAATATTTTATAAAATAAAAATCTTTAGCTTCGATATTTTACCTATTCTTGTCTTATATTTACAAAAAGAGATACAAAAATGTTATAAAATTGGTTTATGATTTTCTTCTTTGTGACATTTTATAATCTATCTAGGACTTTTATAAACATTTTCATTTCTATCAGTGCACAAATAAAGAGTGAATTGGCCGAATAGTTAGTGTGTGTGTAAGGGTGGACGACCATATCAAATATCCATTCATACATTCTCAATGGCATTTAGCTGGCCAAACCATGTAAGAGATGGACTTTCTATCCATCTATTGATTCACAGCTAGTGTTTTTATTTCATTTCATCGGCTTGTGTCTGCAAATTGTAAATACAATTTGGGATTTACAGATGGCCCCCAAAATGTAATTTAAGGCAAATACCAAAGCTTTGGTTTATTGAATTGCAACCATAAATTGGTTTGTAATTGCATTTTGGGCAGACAAAATATTATTACAAGGCTGAATCTTATATTAATTAAGCAATTTCATCATCGTCGACGCTTTTTTACCATTTGCATAATTGAGTTCATAAAATATACAATCACCATTGTGAGCTCAATTATATGTAGATTTTTTGTAATTTTTTGTAACTTTCATTGAACAGCAAAAAAAGATTAAATCAAATCAGCGACAATTACGAAATTGCGCATTTATGGGAGGTCTTAAATTAATGCAATTTTTGGGGCCCCATTTTCGAGTACAATTAATATAAAGAAATTATGCAAGGCAATGGCTGGCTGGAAATTTAATGCGCAACTGAGACGCGCCCACTCAGGATTTGGTGGGTCCTTTATCAAAATTTATGGCAGAGCCCTCGGGACAGTTGCATGAATGATGAACACTTAGCATTTTGTAATTTTGAATTTTCGCCCTGCGACATCGCAATCGATTTCGCGTACTTCCGGCGTTTCTAAGGCCCCTCCCTTCGAAATTCATGCCATATATCATATCTCTATAGCTCGATCTTTGTTCTCTGAAACTTCTGGCCATTAGCAGGCTACGAATTGGGTCATCAGTTCTCAGTTATTTTATTTGTTTCTGTGCGTGTTTTCCACCGCCACTTGAACTCAAACGCTGTTGACAAATTCGCCTCGCCCCTTGATTAAAATTACAATTAATCAACGCCCTTGACGCTCTCAACATTGCTATTCCCTTTAAGTCACTTTTTACTGTCATTTGGTGCGTTTATTTTATTCGTCAGCTTATGCCAGCTGGGTTGTCAGTCAGTCAGAAGGACCAAGGACCAAGGGAAATCGAGTGCTTGATGTTTAAGTGCCAATCACTGGGTTTTTGCCAGCAGTAAATGTCCCCAAAATTAAATTCAACGACGAAATTAAATGACGATTCGAGCCAGCCAAATGCAACCGATTGCACACTTAAAGGTTTCTTGAAAGGGTCTTTAATATTATTGAATTCTAATAAAAATTGTAATGAAATCGTTAAAATTGTTTCAATGTATTGACAGTTAAACCGAAAATCATCCTTTAATTATTTTAATCATAAATCATAAAATTGTGTAAGCATTGGAAAACAGATTGCACAATTATACTAATTTTTAAATAGGTTCTTAATACAAATAAATTAAAATAAAAATTCCAATAAAATCGAAAAAAATCTAAATATTGCTTACTCATGTATTTTGAAGATCTTGCCACATTTTTCCTGTCAATTATTAACAAAAAACTGGCCGAACATCCCAATTACCTAAATTGCGCGACAGACCCTCTTCGGAATACTTACTTTAATTGGTTAATTAAAATACCTAAAAATTCCATTACCATTTTATTCCAAAGAAAAAGAAGTTCCATAATTAATGCCCTTCCAAAATGAATTCCAATGAAAATTTCAATGAAATCTCAAATAATATTCCTTTTTACAGAGTTCGCACAAATTCTTCTTGGTATTTATAGCCATTCAAATTCCATGAAAATCTCAATTACCATAAATGCCTGACCAACCCTTTTCATAGCACTTACCTATTTTAATTAATTAATTAATATATATAAAAAAATACTTTTACCATCGAATAAACCATTTATTTCCATAGAAAAAGAAATTCCATCTCTTGTCATCCGAAATGTTTTATAAATATCTCTTAAATAATAGTTAGACTATAGCTAATTCGTTTTCGTTTTTTGGTATCTGAAGATGCGCTTAGCACTTACACAACTATTTATGGGGCGAAACTTAGTCAAGTATATCACTTATCAAGTGTGGTCACAAAATGTGGCAGGCTGCTTCCAGGGTAGAATAAATACCCTTTAATTTTCTAGCAGAGCGAAGCCTCAGCAAAAGGGGCTCTCAATCTGCAAAGACAACGCTGGCGGGAAAATATTTTGGAAACAGCACTGAACCAAATTTTGTAGCATTAATTGGTCTGTACATTTTTGGTAGTTAAATATTAGTGGGTAGTAGGATAATTTACAGGGTATATAAAAAACTCTAGCCTTTTGTGAGGACTTCTTACAGCCAGAGGGCATCGATGGCATCCTCCACATCCTCGTCGGCTGGACTGGGAGGACTTTGCTCACTGACCAAAACCGCCTTGGCTTTCACCTCATCCGAGCTGCTTAGTAATACCATTAAGAGCACACTACTTCTTCGTTTCGATAGCTCTATGTCCTGATGATCAGCTTCGGGGGATTTACTATCCCTGGGCTTTTGGTTCCGCAGCTTTCTTAGCCAATCGGTGGTGGGCCAAATGCACTTGGTGCCACTCCCACTGCGACGCCTTCGATGGTTGGGGTGCTTGGTGGTTATGGTGGACCCCTTTTGGCCCAGCTTCTCGACCAGACTGATGTCGTTGGTGGATGCAGCAGCATCGGGACATCCATCAACTTCAGAAGCTGCCGGTTCCAGTGGCAATACCACCGATGCAGCTCCTCCTCCTCCACATCCTCCGCCGGCTGCGGTTGACATCACCGCCCGGCCGCTGCTTTCCTGCTACACATTTGTCACTTGGGTCGTCAGCCCGAGATCGATGGCCATGCTCTTGCTAACGGCATCCGTATGCAGCAGTCGCTGGCGTCCGTAGCCGCCAAGGCCGCCGCTTCCGCCCATCCCCCGCCGCCCATCGACGTCGTGCTGCGACAGCGGCAGCCATTTGTCCAGCCATCGCGGCCGGAAGAGCAGGGCGAACGTGCTCCGGAACTGGCGGCTCATCGAGCAGTACAGTATGAAGTTGATGCTCGAATTAATAAGCGCCAAGATGTCCATGAGGTCACCTGGAAGAAGGGAATATCGAAAGGCCATAAATGCAGGGACACCACCAACACGCCATCTGTGGGATGGGTTTTTACTAAGGGTCAGGCGAAGTTCAAGGTTAGTTAGTTTTTAAAGGCTCTTACACGCAGGAAAAATGATCACGGAAATATAAAATATCTTGGGATTAAAAATAAACCAATCAACATTTTTTCTAAAATAATATTATATATACGAACAAATTTATAAAGAATATGTAATAATTTTAATCAATAAATATTTGAAAACTGAAATAAAAGTTTGGGATATTAAAAAAATTTTTTGGAAATGTTTTTTATAAAATTCAAAATATTTCAAGGTTTTAAAAATGCATTACAAAAATTTTCCAAATGAATATTAGATGCCAAAAATATTTATTTAAAATATTTAATATTTTTGAATTTGAAGAAAAAATGTTTTAAAATGATTTTTATACAATTATTTTTCTAACAATTTAAAAACTAATTTTAAACTTTTTTTCAAGTGTACCGGATAAACAAAATGTACACTTCCAGAACATGTCAGGGCCAGGCGAACATAGAAGCCTCAAATTTGTGGTGCAATTATGGTAGTCAACGGTGCGTATGATTGATGGCTGTGCCAAACGGGCGGCCCACCAAGAAAACCAGCCATAAATTCAGTCAATTATCATAGCCAATAAAGCAATTACGGCTAACAGATAGGAGAAGGGGTCTTAGTCTTTAAAAAGGAAATACTCACTCAGCTTTAGGTAGCACTGGATGAAGAAGGCATCGCCGAGGAGAACGTTCAGCAGACCCATGATGCCCTGCGGAAATTCGGTGACCAGGAAGAGTAAAAGGACTGCGAGAAGCATCCTCGTAGTGCGATCTGTTTGCTTCTCCTTCTCCAGCAATTTGCAGCTCTTGGGTTGCGTTGGGGTCACCACTTTGCCATTTACAATAGGCTGCATATCGTTGGCTGCATGGCAGGCGAGAATTTTCCTTCTCCTCTTGGCTTCTAATAAAGCGCCAATTAATCTTACAGACAGTATGGTCAATGCAAAGCAGGGTATCAGCTTGATGAGCACACTATATATAAGGAAGGTGGCATTCCTGAACTGACGATCGTGCAGGGCCAAAGCACTATGATATAACTTATAGACGGTGACATTGCGCTCACCCAAAGTGGCTACAGAGGAAGTGGTTATACCCGTACTTATGGTTGTAAGAGGTATCACTGTGGTTAGACTTAACAGGCTAACTGCCGTTCCATTCCCCGAACCACTTGGTATCGCCCAGGAAACATCTGGTGTTGTGCTGGACATGACTTGCATGGTTATATCCTCCTCATGGTTATAATCCAGTATATACTGACTCAAGGGAACTGATGCGATGGTCTTGCCATCCGCATCCAGGGTTTCCAGGAACTTGGCTATGGCTGTGACCAAGTAGAGCCATGGGGATACCACCAAAACACACACCACATAGGCTGTGGCTATGGTTATCAGGGTGGTCCTCATACCACACCATATCCTATTCCTCTGGGGATAGCTAACTGCTATATAGCGCCAAACAGCAAGGGTTACAGTCAACCATATCGATATCGTATGGAGAACCTGTGGAAACACCGAATGAAACTTGATGAAGCAGGCCCAACTGTAGCTCAGCTGCTCCTCCCGCGGCATTCGACTACTGAGGATATAGTCGTGCACCGTATAGGGGATATATTCCAGCATTACTGCCAAATCGGCCACCGCCAGACCCGTGAGTATGGCATTCGTGGGGGAGCGCATCTCGCGGCGGGTTAGCACAATGATATTCAAGGTATTCGCAATCGTTCCCAGGATGCAAACAATCAGGGAGAAGTAACCGTGGAAGTATTTGTAGCTGTGAAGGGAGAAAGGTGAAAAAAGCAAGGCCTTTAGTCACTGCGGAAAAAATAAACCATTATGTTGTATTGAATTATTTTATTCTTAAAGTTAACATAAATTCAAGGCTGTTTTTAATAAAAACTTTACTTAATTCCTTTATTCAACAAATTTCAAATATAACTGCTAGGTCAAGCTTTAAAGTACAAAAAAAACACTTAAACACTCAAAATAATTAAATTCTTAAAATAATATTCTCTTTAAATTAAATTAAAATCTTTTGTTGTAAAATATTTTGTGATTTGATGAGGTATTAAAATCCCAAGTTTACTTTATTCCTTTAATTCTTCTTTTGTGTTTCTTTCAAATTTGCCTTAAATTATGCAAATTTGAAAACTAAAGAAATCGGTATAAAAAGCAGCGGCAGTCTTCAAATGAAGTCATCCATGCAAATTGCTTACTCAAATAGAAACGACAAATTAAAGATAAATAAAGCTGGCCTCAGACAAAGTACGCTTTTTTCTCAATTTATCTGAGATGGCCATGGCTTTTATAATACAAAAAAAATATTTATGTCTTTATTTTGTTAAATCTTCCATGAAAAATTAAGCTGCTCTCCCACCACAAAAACCAATATTCTATAGCATTTTTCCCAGTATTTGTAAAGTCAAAAGCTTAAGCCCTGCCTTCCCGCATTAGATGCACTTGGTTAGCCTTTTGCCACCTTGGCCGTAGGCAATTACACACATGATTTCATTATGTGCGCCCCTTATGCAAATTACATTTAAAAAAGTAATTAATATGCAGACATCCCCGGGGGATTTCCATGCCCTCGTTTTTACTCACTTTGTGTGAAAATCATCGATGCCTGTGCCGCAATAATGCGGCTGCGACATGTTCGTGACCATGGTGTCAATGATGAGCTGCTGGCCAGGTGGTCCAGTGGTCAAATGGTCGATGCCCTGGCAGAGGACTCCCTTTTGATTGACCGCGCTGCTGCCCAACTCACTGCTGCCCCCCGTTGCTTCTCTTCTCTCGACGTTTCATTAAAATTTCCTTTTTTTTGGGGAAATTCCAATGCTTAAATATGCAAGCTGCGTGGCGAAAATGCTACCTGCAAATATAAAATACAAAAGGCGTTTGTTGAATGAAGAATGAATTTAATTTTAGCTGAATTTAAGCGTCGCAATTGAATTCCCAAAATACCAACCAAAAAGCATTGCATGCCACATGCAAGTTGAAGTTCAGGGCAGGTCAAAAGTATGATTCCAAATGAATCAACAAAGAAATGTCATTACCATTCGGTAATGGGAGGGCAAAATGGTCAGAAAACAAGGCCAGGGCTTGGTAATCAATATTACGCATACGACCAGTTGGCCCAGCTGAAGCAGATGATTTCGGCAATTTGTGGGCAAACAGGATTGCTTACAAGGTACACTTAACAAATTTTTTGAGCTAAATTTTAAAATCTTAATGCCAAATTTAAATAAAATAGATATAGGTACTAAATAAATATACAAAAAACGACTTTTAAAATATTTTCAAAAACAAATAGAATATTGTTGCCATGTTGTAGTATAAATATTTAGTAAGAAAATATAAAAGACATCTTAAAACTATAATTTTTCTGAGTGTAACAATCTTGGTCCCACACGCATTCCTCGTTGACGTAATTCCATTAGACAAATGAGGAAATATGGAGAATGCCCAGAGATTCAAAGGAATCTATGTTCACTTTTGCTCTTTGCTCAACCGCAGTTTGCAGTTGCAGTTGCAACTGCAGCTGCATTGTGAAAGTAACATTTAATTAAAAGTAACTTTCCGTCTCTCTGTGTGTCAGTGCCAAGTGACAACTTTCCGGGGTGTTTTGCTTTTATCCGGCAATAAATCTGTATACATGGCAAATTGGCCCAAATGTTTCGTCAGCCTTGAAGTGATAATAAAATCTTCTATTTTCCATTTACCATTCGTTATTTGTCCTCTGTTTTTTGTTTGTGATTTCAAGCACAAAATCTTGCTTTTTCGATTTTGTAAGCCGGTCTAACTTCCATTACAGTGATTAAGTTGGGGGATTTTGGCCCAGATTGGGCTTATGCCGTGTGACTTGGCAAGAAAATGTTGGCAGCGTAAGCATTTTTGTGCCTCTGTAATTATAAATGGTAAATTTGGTATGTTTGACCATGAAATTGATAATTAATTATAATTAATCCTTGTCATGAATATTGAATTAAGGATGAAGTAACACAATTTACCATGTATCTTTAAGGCAGTGCCTCAAATGTTTTGTTGGCTAATTCCAGCATGTGGTGAGGGCTTATAATTGAATTGGATTTTGTAGCAGGATACAATGCAAACACGCAGTAGTAAGGCAATAAACAAATGTCCCACTGTCTCATTTGGTCGCCACTAATGTAACTAATACGCACCGTATGCCGCCCATTACGGAAGTTTTCGGGGATTTCAGTGGGGAGCTGGTGTGCTATATATAGGGTGGGTCAACAGACTACCAGTGTCAAGTGCCTGTGCTGACCAAAGGACTAAAGGCCGTTAAAGTTGCGGCCAGTCACGTAAATGCGAGGACTTGTTGACTCTGACAGAAACAGCGGAATATCTTAGGGGGTTTTCGGCTTGGCTGGGTTGTATGGTTTGGAGGACTCATCTTAAGTGCCTGGCGATGGCAGCTGACAAGCCAAAAAGGGGAGGAGATTAAAGGACCTCAGACAAGGAACAACACTTGCAGCTTAATAGACAACACCGCACAACAAAACATCCATTTAAACGATCTAATGAAGCCATCGCCAGCTGCATTATTAATGCCACCCCCCATCCTCCCAAGCTGCGTAATGGAATCACATAATCATCCCCTTTCCCCACGCGATTCAACCCCATTTTAATTACCGAACCACGCCCCCTTTTGACAGTTGGCCAACTGCAAATGTCCATACAAATTGAAGTTTGATTGTGCCTTGTTGCCCATTAGACAAACGCGGTGCTGTAACCACCACATCCGATTATCTGGCAATGGTATCAGTGGTAATGTGTTTAAAGCTGAATCGGTTTGTGAATAGGTTGAAGAATTATGGGAAAAGTTTACTCAATAAAGGGGAAAATTAACATATTAATTGCTTTATCTCTTGGAAAGTTTTTAACGTAACAGCCGTTTACTGAAGGGAAAAAGATAAGCAGTATTTTTTATAAATTGTTTAAAGTTATTTAAGCATTGAATATTAAAAATGAATAAAACCAGGATTGGATGTGAAATAATTATCTTAGTTTTAATTCTAAACTTCATTGTCCTAAAATGTAACGATTTTGCTCTTTGCCAGATAAAACCTCTCAAGCTCCAAGTCAACTGTATACTTTTATGTACCCAACGATCCCAGTTGATGCCATTTTCTGGCCAAGTACAATTACATCTTTGGCCTGTCCTCAAGGCAGGACCTCACAAGCGCACAGTACACTGAATCTGCCTGTTTTCCTTTTGGCTTTGGGCCATATAATGAGCATGAGAATATAGTACTCTGCGAGTATGTAGTCTCTGACCCCCTCTAAAACCCCCTAAATGTGGATGGCAATGCCATGTGAGCTGGCTCATTTCGCTGGCCGGAAATACTTTGGCAGGATGGAGAGCCCGGGAGAGCCCTTCATGTGCGGTTAGGAGCCCTGTGAATTTATGAAACGAAAAGCTCTGGCACACATTTTCCGCATTCCGGGGAATCACTGGGGATGGTAGCGGGAAATTATGCCAAAAGGTAACAACGGCCACGTGCAGCTGTCCGGGTTCACTTAAAGTTTAAATTTTTTTTTTTTTTTTGGCTGGCGGAAATCCGGTTTTAAAGCTCACACGCACACATTTGAGTTTCTACTTAGTGAAAAACTCGCTCTCTACCTCTGGAAAAAAGGGGGAGAAAAAAAGTGGAGGAAGCCGCAATAACAAAACCGGAAGCCATCATCAAGGACGCTGAAGGGGCGATGGCAGCAACAACTAAGCGCATATAATTGAACACTTGTCATGGGCGCACGGGCCGTATGGGCCATATTCCGAAACAGGCAATCAAAAAGTCATACACATAAAAAAATGGGACACTATGCGAAAGGTCTACATCACAGAAATCAGTAGTTTTAAAATCATATTTAAAAGTGTCCAAAAGTATGCAACACAATATTTTATATCCAATAATTCGATTATTTTTTCGCGGCATACTTTTAGGCACATTAAAAATATTTGTTTGACCTAAACAATATTCTTTATAAATAAAAACCGGTTTTAAGCAAAATTAATGAAAAATTTCTAGCCATTTTATCTGATATTCTTTTAATTGACAGACAAATTGTTAAGGCATGAATAGCCGTTTTTATAAACTTTTTTCCTCTGTAACTCTACCACAAACTACGTTTGAAATGGAATTTTTGTTCCAGCTGCCATCAAAACACAATCAAAAATAAAATCAAATATGACTTGCGGTTTATGCTGGAACAAAAACCCAGAAAAAAGTGCAGAAAATTGGAAAAACCAACTTTTTTTCTTGTTTAGGATGTGGATGTGGATGGCCAAGGGGCGATTTTCTAATTCTCCATTTTCCACTTGCCATTTTCACATTCACATTCCACTTTCACCATCCAACTTGGCAATTTCATTTTTGACCTCTGCATGTGGAAATTTCTTGGCTTTCCTCTGGCTGCCTAATTGCTGTGGCTTGTTGCGAAAATTTCCCACTTCGGCATTATTTTTGGACGATTTTTCTGTGTTAACTTCCTTGGAATTTTTCGGTGTTTGTTGCTTGTTTCTGGCACTTCTTCGATTGACCCCTCTGAAAAGTTCTCACCACAGTTCTCTCGTTTCGGTTAAACTGTGTTGCTGATGAAGGTTACCCCAGTTGTTTGGGCAATATTTGCTGCCAAAAGTTTTGCTGCTCTTTAAGTTCGAGTTTTCTTATTTTTTTTCAGGGAATTAATATCTCCATTATTGAGTGGGTCCGCTTCAATTAGCCGGGTAATTCTTTGAAAGTTTGATTGACAGCTGCCGCTCATTGATTTGGGTCTCTAAGCGACTGGAGATAAGATTGAAGGGCATCTTCCGTCTTCCTTCTGACACATATGCTTATCAATTGCCCGTGAGCACTACTTTCCCATCCCGGAGGCTCTTAAAAGCTTTTTGTATTGCTACATCTTCATTTTGTTTGTTCTTTCATATTTTCAGCCTTCTTTTTTGATGGAACGGTTTGATTCCTACGCTTTTTGCACGTTATTTACTGTACTGTATTTACTGTACTGTACTTTACATAATGCAATAAATATATTGTACAGAGAAAAAAAATTCAGAGTTATAAGAAAGAAATTGCAATTTTTAAATAAATTTAATCATTATAATTTAATTTTTAGATTTTAGCATATCATTAAATATTTTATAATCTTTTCTTTACTTTTTTTAAGTAAACATGTATAAAATTTCCCTAAAAGATTTTACAATTTCCATAAAATAATTAAAATTTTTAGAAATATTTAACTAATAAAATTTAAAATGATTTTTAATATTTCAAATACATTTTTTATAATTTTTTCCGAGTGAAAATGTACCAATTATTTGTACTCGCCTGGCTTGCCATTATGTTTGTGGCTATTTGCTCATTGATTTCACGCTGGCTTTATCGAAACCGAAACCCCTGGCTGACTGAGTCTATAAATGTGGGTTTTTCTGTGGGTGGAAAGTGTCAACATGGCGAGTGTCAGCGCTTTTCCCGGCGCCTCACTCAAATATTTGCCGAGTTAAGGCGCCCCGAAAGTCTGGGCCCAAACATGAGCGCATTTTGTAATTAAGCATTCACAAAACGCTTTGGCTCAGCGGGTGCAAATATAAGGGGCAGTTTGGGATTAAGGGGGTGGTGAAAGTAGAGGAAAAGGCTGCCCAGGGATCACCCACAAACATGTCAACGGTTGTCCGTCACTTGACAATCAGGCAGCCGCAGCGGAAAACAGAGGTCACTACTGCATATTTTAGGGCCAAGTCCGGGAAATCCCTTTTGTGTCACGGCAGTCACATGTGGTGGTGCTGCAGGCACGGATAATTTCCACTTAAATATAGTTTGCTTTAAAGG